ATACTGCTTAGTAGAGCTAAGGAAGAATTTTAAGACTAAGTGTTAGCATTCCATGAAGAATTTTGACTAATATTCTGCCCTATGCCGATACATTCTCTGGCCTACATAGTAGCGCTGACGTCCTGAGTTAGAGACTCATTATTCTGACTATTATAAACATTATGAGTAAAATGTAATACACAGGGGGGACGTATTGATAGAAAGAGATGCAAAAGGCAACATTGAGCAACATACATATTGATTTTGTGTGAATGAATAACAGTTTTGGGGAAAAGAAGTGTGATAAAGACTCAGACTTTGCTTAAAGGGACAAGAAGCAAGGAAGCTGTGGAGAGCCTTGATTGCCAATATCCTGAATGGATCACGGCACATGATGATCCCCATCGCCAAAAGATATAACTAGCAAACTTCTTTTTTATTCGACTTTTTTTTATTTACTGAACTAGATTTTTCCTTCAATCTTTATTTAACGAAGCTTTTATTTAATGTTGTATTTTGTACAAGACTCGTCTATTAACCTCACTGTCATCTGTCTAATATTCTGCTTTCGTTTTCTTCTTGTAAAAAGCTAAGCGTTTATTTGATGCTTCAGTCAAATCCCGCAGGTTTAGATTTGAATTTTTTTCGCCGACCTATCGTTTCTAGTTTTCATTAGAAGTGCTTTTCTCCCATCAAAGTATTTTGCAGATAACAAAAATGGTAATAACAGCCTAGTGCAAAATCACGCCATTGGCGACTTTTTTTCGTTTCACACTTGCTCTATGCTGTCTGGAATTGGCTTTGCGATAAACAAATATTTTTCAATTGACGACCGCAGGTCGATTTTTGACAAAAACTAACCGTTTATTTCACGTACGATTCAAATTCCATTGTTTTACACATGAAGAAATGTTTTCTACGAACTCTAAAATTTTATACATGAGAGAACCCTCTCGCCGTCAAAGCATTTTGAAGCTATCAAAACACGTAATAATCAGTTGGTACAAGATCAGGCCAATATGGCGATTCCGTAAAAAATAAACCAACTAGGTTCCATTTTTTTTTCCGGGGTCATTCTTGCTGTGTCATGACATGGGGGATAACCGGCATTGTTCCCGTTGAATGCAGGAAACTTTCTGACCAAACATTTATAGACACATTGTAGTTAAACCCTTGAGCAAATTAATTAAAAAAAAACTGCTTTAGTTTCTTTTATTTCACCATACCGTCAGTTTAAGCCCCGCTGGAGTGACAGGGTGTAATCGATTTCTATTTTTCTTCCTCAGATTAGGTCATTTGGAATAGTGTGCAGCAATATAAATCTATTTTCGAGGTGTATAATGAAATTTGTTTGGTCTTGAAAAATATTGCGCCATCTGTGATTGCATAAGATTTTCATAACAACCAGACACTATTGTCTCGACTGTCGATTAGTTGTCCTACGGTCATTATCTGCGATGGACGTTACTCAAAGTATGCGTATGAAAATATAACGCTTCACGAACACACTGGCAAGCCTTACAAGTGAGCAAATCGAAGTACTATAGACTGACCTAGAAACTCTCTTGATTTAAATCCTATTGAGAATCTGTGGTCAATCTGCAAGGAACGACTTCGTGGAATGGGCATACGAAGTACTAAGATGCGCACTGAGTCATGTTTCATTGGGAGAATACAAAAAATATTAAATAATAACGTAATTATTCGTTTTGTTTCCGTTAATTTTCAAAAGAGTGTAGTGAATGTATAAATGCGCTTTTAATGTGAGAATTTTAATGGATAATACCCCCAACGATAACACCACACGCACAGCACTGGATTTCCTTCCGTGGGTTTCCGCTTTTGAAGTTTACTCCCAGACAACCCACAGCCTTTTGAGTCGCACATTGTTGTATACAACTCACATTTGTGAAGGGATTACAATATAGAAATATGGCTACAGAAGTTTTTTTAATCATTTCACCCCAAGCAAGGTGATAATGTATTATGCCATAGTACCTATTCTATTGTAATGGACTCTCCCATAGATAATAAATAGGAGTAGCAGTGGCAAGTCTGGCAGAATGGTGTTGAGCGCGTCAGTCGAGATTCGGACATTTGAAGTACCAACCATCACAACTAGATTTTGCTGCGTCATTGACTCTTATTTTCCGAGTTCCTAACGTTTTGTACGTCTGACCTAATTTAGGACGACTTATTAGAAATACAAGCCTCCACTGTGAAAATACTCCACAACATAATGCCACTAAGGCGCAGTGTTTTACAGGGAGTGAAAAAGAAGGAGAAGTATTTAAAGGACAATACAAGAACAGGATTGAGGAGGACAGATGTGAGACTAGAATTTTTTATTTAATTTATTTTTTTTTAACTTTTGACAGGGAAGCAAGAAATCGGCAGGGAGTTTCACAGTTAAGAAAAGAGAGAAAAGAAACTCTTAGAGAAGTGTCGGTTGCATCTAGCTAGAGCCTGTCTATATTTCTGAGATGAGGTATTATGTACATTATTTACATTATTCGGACTACTGTACTCATCTTTGTCGCCATATTTATCACAACGTTTGGCTCAGCCGACCAAGCATAGAAATAAATACAATATGGGAACCAGTAATAAGGAGTGCCAGAGAAAAGCAATGATAACAACATAGTTGCATTATGAGCTCTGGTAAAAACATGATGTGATAATAGGAAAATTGCAATATGAGCACTGGTAAAAATGGTTGCTGAAGACATTAGGTTTTTAATACCCAGAAATTCATACTCAGATGTCCTCAAGGACACATGGCACAGTGGATAAAGGCGTTGGTTAGATCCAGGACCCAAAGAGTGTGAGTTCAACACCCGGTTAAGGTAGTGGAGAACTTTCAGAGGGAAATTAACAGGGGGAAATTAACAGGAGATAACTGATAACTGACATCCATCAAACATGGCACCTGGAACTAGAACAGTCTACCCCGGTGAGTGAAATAAAGGGTTCAGTTCGACATTCCAAACATTGAAAGAAGATCGTACAACGGCCGAAACGTTGTGATAAATATGGTGACAAAGATGAGGACAATAGTCCGAATAATATAAATAATGTGCATCTCGCTAGTTCAACAGTAAAACGGTGAGACCTACTTGCCAATCTAGTAGCAGATTTGAATTCATGCAGTCGAAGCACTAAGTAAAAATTTCATCAGAACACTTTCCATAAAGATTTTTGTAGAAAAGACAGAGGGAAAAGTTCCATATTCTGTTTTCAAGTTACGTATTTCATTTGCTAAATTACATGTCATCTCGAATTATAGTTTTGTTTTAGTAGATCAATTTTGTTTAGCTTGCTCTTGTCTTCTGAAAAATCACTTTAAAAAATATGTGAGTGCATTTCACTTGTAAGAAGGATAAGAAGGATCGTGGGAAAAGCCTGATGTCTGCAGTAAAAAAAAAAGTATGTTGTATCAAGTCCAAATTAATATTTCTCCTGACTAAAAACTGTGTTGCAGATTACCTTTAACTGGCAGCAAATAATGTCTCAAATTACACCTCGAAGCTAAGTATTGCCAATGTCCGAATCTGTACGTAGACAGTTATTTAAATAACACCTCAGGCAATCATCTGTCAGTCAGTCATTCAGTTATGTGCCATGCGTGATACACGATTTCAATACATGACTGATGAGGCAAATTTTTTTTTCAATGCAGTAGGTTGCCATTTCTTTCTGCGGTAGACCAGTTGCCATCCAAGGCAACAAAACCCGGTCTGTCCTACTATTTACCCATAGCTGCGGGGATCTATTTTCAAAACCATATACATTAAATATTAATGCATTTAAGTATTGCATTTAAGTATTGCATTGGCACTTAAGCCTACCATTTAAAAGTTTGACAATAATTATTCTGCCGCTATTTAATTCAAATATTGTTTGATGTAAGTAGGTCCTTATTTTCCATACAAACTAATTATTTTTATTTAATGGGTGATTTTCGTTGCATTTCGTAATTATTATCGTACAAAAAAAAATGTCGCAAAAAATCACGTGGAAAAAATCGCCGAAAACAATCGCAGTGATGAAAATTTGGGAATCCAAAATTTCAAGATTGCGGGTCCGGATCCTGTCGGGAATTATTTTAATTTTCCCACGGAGTCGGTCTGATTGCAAAATATGTTGGGCAACGGCCTCTAGTCAGTCAGTTATGTACTATGCGTGATACACGATTTCGATACATGACTGACGAGGTAGTTACCATTTCTTTCTGAGGTAGACCAGTTGCCATCCAAGGCTATAGAACCTGGTTTTCTCCTGCTATTTATCCATAGCTGCGGGGAGACGCAGATGATTCATACCTTTCCCAATGGTATTAGCACGTAAGTGAATGTCATAGATTCGACAGGAATTCGAACTCGGTTCTCCGATTCTTCAATCCAAGCCGCTATTCATTATTCCACTGTGCCACCGATTCGAATTTAATCACGCATGCAAAAGCCCGGATATTCTTAACCGGAAGACGGAAGTCGACAGATAAAGGAGAACTGATGAAATACACGAATTTCTGCTTCGATTAAAATAAATTATTTAACACGCTGTTGATTAATGTCATATCCAACAATGGCTAGTCTTTGTTTAAGATATTGCGCCAACTAATTCTACAATCTGTATCACTTTCGAAATCAGAACAACGAATTCAGAAGTAATTGGCAAGAGCTACCAGAGAGAACATTACAAGAAAGCAAATGACCCCTGATGGGTTTTTGACAAGGAGATTTTGATCTCATCCGACTTGTGTTCGTTCATTAGTTCATATAAAAGTGTCTGATCATGTTTCGGGTTGTATCTCTTCATGTCCGGTGACTGTCTTCCTGCTTCAACCTTGAACACATCAGTGTTTCTTGAGTGCACGTTTAAGATTACGCCGATACGTCAGTAAGGCCAGCGGCTGCACATTTCCAAATCTATTTACCGCCTTTTAAAAGTATCTGTCGAAAGCATGGTGCATGATTAAGAAAAAAATATTGTACTGAGCCGTGTTTCCCATCTATAAAGGCTTACGGCCATAACACATCGAAACACTGGTTCTCGTACATCAACAAAGTTAAGCAACGTTGAGCCTAATCAGTAGCTAGATGGGTGACCATTTGGGAATATCAAGTGTCGTAAGTTTGGATGTGCGGGTGGTGTAATAGATAACGGCTCAGGAATTGGAAATCGGAGAGTCGTGTTCCAGACCCAGTCGGGTTTATTATATTCATTTCTTTGCAAATATCCTTGGGAAAGGAATATATCCTTCTATTCTTCCCCAATTAATTATTAGGACTTGTATCAGTAAACCATTATTATTATCGCTAAAATAATGTTACAATCTAAAAATCTTTGCTGGCTTTAAATAAGCTGCAAAACGTAGATAAACCGTAAAAAAAGACAAATTAATCAATGAATCCACTGTCTAATCTGAACCCGGACTTTTTGAGTTAGTTTAATCTGAGTATGACAACTTTTAATCTATTTTTAAGAGGAGGTGCGAGGGATTAGCGTAAAAAATAGAAACCGCGAACAGAATTCAAATCCCAGCGCTGGGTTTGTGTTCATATTTCAGTGTGAATATTGACAGATTCCTGTTGCCATATCATGGCAGAAGCTGCACAATCCTCACTTTGCAACCTAAATATATTTCCCAAGATATTTAAGCGGCCTTGTGGCCGAAGAGTTGTTTTCCACCCTACCGGCTCTTTCCCAACAGATGCAAAATCACAAGCCACTTATTAACCCTATCGCTATTTCCATGACAAATGGTCAGACGAGAGACATTCCTTACTACCTCCCGTTCACATCTACACAGTTAGGCCCCACATGGGTTGAATAATCCTTATTCCTTTTGTATTGCATTTGTGAGAAAGAAGTTAGACTCAAATACCTTCTGAACATTATGGAACAAACATCCAATAGGATGCTTCTCTGATCATTACAATCTTAACCTTTTCAAATCTCGGTCAACCGTTGTCTATCCTGCGTATCATCATAATCCGTTTAACGTCTGTACGACATTCATTAGCTCTCTACTTTGAGTGGCTCTTGGAACTTGTATTGGGCGAAGATTTAATTAAAAAAAATGGTGTGTATCTATCTCTCTTCTACCCCAGCTATAAATTGAATTACGGGGCACTAACTCACTAGATTTTATCGGCGAAAAGTTCCAAGATATCTCTCTATTTCAAACCGCGAGGAAGGCATCAGAGTGTGGCTGGTAATTCTTCCAAGAATACACATAGTAATGGACAGTTTGGAAAAATAATCGAATTTTCGGAGAACAACGATTGAGTCCTTCTGTAAGCGAAACGACACTCACAGAAGGTGGAGAGTGTCTTTTTTTAGCATTTTACCCCAAACAAGGCGATAATGCCACTAAGACGCCAGGGGTTACTTGGAGTGAAGAGAATGAAAATAGATTAGTGAGTAAAAAAGACAATACAAGATTATTATTATTATTATTATTATTATTATTGTTGTTGTTGTTGTTGATATGATTATTATTATTGTTGTTATTGTTGTTGTTGATATTATTATTATTATTATTATTATTAAATTTTTTAACTTTTTTGATGTTAGCGAGACGCGCGAGAGAAGACACTATTAGAATAGAACTTACTGTTACATCTTGATACTTCAACAGAAAAAACGATGATAACTAATTTCCAATCTGGTAGGATGCTTAAATTCATACGTTCGATGTCCGAAGGAGATCTCATTAAGTCAATTCCCATAAAAAAATTATTTATAGAAAAGTCAATAGATGATCCCAATTCTCCGAAGTTTCGTTTCTCTTCATATATATAAACTCTCCATGACCAGGTGTATTTTTTGGAAACGACAGGCCAGTGACTTCATTTTTAATATACTTCTATTATTTGTTGTTTTTTTTTCACCCTAGTTATAAAGCTCAAGTTTTACTTGTGTTTGTCTATTTCAATCTGACAGCGAATTTTCGACGCAAGTTTGATCTTGATATTCAAACTATCCTTCGCATTATTGATTTCTGTTTAACTTGTTTCATAAGCTCGAACAGGAATTAGTAAATGAAAGGAAGAACGAAAGAAGAATTGAAAGGAGGTATAATGTACAGTTGTCGGCAAACAGAACAGCCCAATATACAAATTATAAACTGGTGCCACCAGACCAACCAATCACAAGATTTTGAATATCTGTGAATTGTTTTAACAGATTTCAAAATCCAAAGGAGAATTAAGATGCCTTTAAATAACTAAGTAAAATATTAAGAAACAGAAAAAATTCTTTAGAAATAAAGAAAAAGTACTGAACTGGCATGTAATATCGGTCGTCCTATGTGGCAGTGAATGCTTGATAATCTCGTCACAAATGAATAAGAGATAACATAAGATAAGGCAACAGAAATGTGGCTCTACAGAAGGACTATGAGAATAACATAGAAGAAGAAGAAAAAGAAGAAGAAGTGTAGCGAACTGTTATATAATATCGATACTCCTATACAGGGTGCTATGGGTAAATTCTTGCCATTTTATATTTTTAATTTCACGCATGCGCGTTTTTGATTTTGTCGACAGCACAGTATAGCAGGGTCAGTTGGGCATCGTTTGTGAGTAAAACAGCACCATGTTGCAATTCACTCTGTCAGAAATTTCTAAAAGACATTGCTGTACTGATTAGTATTTCAAAGTGTTTGCGGGGATATTTTGCAGAGGATTCTGATGAGTCTAATGGTGATGGCAACGTTATGCCTCCATTTATCTTCACACAGGACCTCAAACTCAACATGGAGGCTGACATCAAGTGCCTTTCGAAGGTTGTCCTGCCCTGGGTCAAGTTGATGACTTCAGGAGGACTATGTCGGACAACAGGACTTTCCACCATGACACACAAACAGGAAAACCCAGTCATGGCTGTCGGACAATGTTTATGACCATATCACCTCTGACATCTAGCCACTAACACTCCAGGCTCAAACCTCTTTGATTATTATGCGTGTGGCACAGTTAAATGAGAGACCACAAAACTCCTTGAAGGCAAGGATTATGGCATCATTCATCAAAGAGAGCGCCCCGAAGAGTTGCAGGATATTCTCCCTGGAGGATGTGATTCAAGCTAATGGAGATTTTGTATCTATCTATATTTCTGAGATGAGGTATTATGTACACTATTTACATTATTCGGATTATTGTCCTCATCTTTGTCGTCATATTTATTACAAAGTTTCGGCCGTTGTACGCTCTGGCCTTCTTGGGGGGTGGGGTTGGAATATCGAACTGAACCCTTTATTTTACTCGCTGGGGTAGACTGTTCTAGTTCCACGTGCCATGTCTAATGGATGTCAGTTATCAGTTATTTCCTGTTAATTCCCTTCTCCAAGTTCTCCACTGCCTTAACCGGATATTGAACTCACACTCTTTGGGTCCTGTCACTGGATCAAACAAACGCCTTTATCCACTGTGCCATGTGTCTACCCCAGTGAGAGAAATAAAGGGTTCGATATTCCAACCACCTGAAGAAGGCCGCAGCGTACAACGGCCGAAACGTTGTAATAAATATGGCGCCAAAGATGAGGACAATAGTCCGAATAATGTATATAATGGCGATTTTATTGAATAAATTTACTCTTTACGATTTAAAGATCATTTTGTGTAAATTTTGATAAATATATATTTTGCTTTTTGCGTAATTTAGAGAAAAAAATATCCATCGTACCCTGTATAGTAGCGAATGCCGGACAATCTCTTCACGGATGAAGAAGTGTCATTATAAGGGGACTTTCTTTTAGTAATTTTTCAGGTCAGTCAATATTTTTAAGAACCTATATTTCGACTCGGTTTTTCAGATGCATTCGCGTTTAACAGCGAAATTATTACCACCGGGCTTTCTTGTACAAATACATAATGGCTGCTTTTCAATCTTCTGCTCTGATTTAATTTGATACTGATATTTGTAAGGTTTCTAACCCCTAGTTTCAAAACGAATTTCAAATATTAATTTAAGCTGTTTTCCAGTGCTAGCTTGAGTGCATGTCTAAACTAATTAAACTCGATTGCAATATATATATATAACAGCAAAATTGTCAAAATCGTGTATCAGCATAATTATCCATGCCACAAATGTTTAATATCCCCAAAAAAGCACTAAACTAATTGAGTTTTTTTTTAGTTTTTCCAGATTTTCAGATAAGACATTTAGCCATCTTGTCACCGTTTACCGTAAGAATCACTGAAAAAGCCTCAAAACTTTCCAGCTAGAAAGAAAACAGGTTAAAATCATTTTTTGTCCGGCCCACTGTTTTTCCAAATGAGGAATGGTCGGTAGAAAACGATCAATCAGGCCTTCAGCAATGGTAGCAAACTTCATACTCTGCCTACCATCACGAAAGTCTATTCAAAATGCATCAAGAGAACGGCGAATAAGTTTAAAAACAGGGAACAGCGGAGCGGAAAACTGGATCAGTGGGTCACAACAGGAATAAGTAATCATCATTCCAACTAAAAAAAGTAAAAACGAAAGGGAAGAGAAATTATTCCCGTTGGTTTTTACTTTTTAATTCTGAGAATTTCGAAAAGCTTACATAGCAAAAAAAAATGGTTTCTAATACAATTATTACGTACTCTTTATTTGGAAGTATCTTCGCAAATATATGTATATGTATACCTACTAGCAGCATGTCCCGGCGTTGCCCGTGCTTGATTCAAAAATCGTACGACTCATACAGCAATCGCTATCACTTGACTTAAAATATTTTTGCCCTTCCTTGCCTTTAAAGGAGTGCCATTTGCTGTGCCGATGTTGCTACATGCCTTACTTCTTGCCTATCTCACACTGCGAATTTTTCTAAGCTCTATTCTAAACATTAAATCTCTTACGAAAAAAGAACTAAATGCAGCTATCGATTTTTTTTGCATGCTAGTTAACATTCGTGTCAGTCAGCTGTTGGCTCTCACGCTGGCCAATAGAAGCGTCCTGCCTATTCGTGGCAGTCAGCCATAGGCTCTTACTCAGGCCAGTAGAAAATGACCACAAACTACATGAAAACTGCCGTAGAATCATGAAAAAATCGATTATTTCCACTGTCGATGGGAGCTGGCTTTCCCGCTAACTTGGAGCATGTGCATGTAAATTTTGGTGCAAATCCGTCGAAAATTGCG